GGAGCCTTAAACCGAGACACCTTTCCCCTACCTTCCCGCAGCCAGCACTGGGTCTGTGAAGCAGTCACAGGTTTCTTTCATCTTCTGTATGTGTGTGTGTGCGCGCGCGCGTGCGCGCGTGCGTGTGTGTGTGTGTGTGTGTGTGTGTGTGTGTGTGTGTTTTGGGGCGGGGCGGGGGAGAGCGAGCGCAGTAATAAATCTCCAACCTGCCTATTTGAATGAAGTGGTGGCACATTTGCATAATAAAGATAAATCGATAGAATTCATGACAATGAAAGCCTGGTGCTTCTGCAGCCCTGCTTGACTCTCAGGGCAGGAATCTTAAAAAGGGGAGGCTGGATTGACAACGATTTCAATATGAAGGTTGGTGCCATCAAAAAGGACACAGAACACTCATTAGAATTCAAGGAAAATATTCTCGGGTAATTTTCGCTGGTGTCACCATTCACCCCTCTCCCCAAACCTTCCCTGTCCCCTGTTCACCCAAATGAGCTGTCAGGAACTGATGGGCATCTTGGTAATCAGAGAAAACAAGCTTGCCCTTTCAAGCAAAAGAGGCGATTTGACTGAAAGCAAATTGGAAGCATTCCCCTCTCAGTTTCCAGCCTTTGTCTCCCAGGAATCCTGGGTGTTTTGACTGGTGCCTGGAGAACTCTAAGGACAGCGTGGAAAAGTGTGTCGTGTCCATTCAACACTTCCTTCATTCATCCTGTGGCCTCGGGGCAGGTACACTTCATCCTCAGAGGGCTGGGGAGAGGCTCCACAGCTGCCCAAACCACTCCATAGTCAGGAAAAGGCCCCTGGGGAGCTCACTCTACAGATGAGAGAGCAGGAAGTGGGAATGAGGCCCAAGGAAGCAGGATGGCACCACCTTGGGCTGGGTCTGCAGCCTTGAAGAGGTTCTGACTCTGGCCCAGGAGCCTCCTGTCCTTCACAGCAGATCTGGTGCCTCTCTTCTCTGCCTTAGACACATTGGAGACTTCTCCAGTTGCTTAGCTGCCTGTGGTTTGAGGAGCTAAAGATAGTCTTCTGTGGCTCTGCATAGCACTTCATCCTCCTCCATCTTTCTCTGGGTCCCTGTGACCGTCATCATCAGCTCCTACGCTGTTTGACCACCTAAGACTCTTTAATTGAATATTTGATCAGCTGAGCCTCTCTGACCACAAACAACAGAAGCCAAGAAAGTCCCTTGCCACCTTCAGCATCTGCATTAGTAGGTCTGCAGGAAGGAGCCTGGAGCTTGACACTTCCTATCCCTGTGGGTTCCCCTCAGCCAGAGTCCCTGCTCCCCAGCGGACAGGACTGTTGATGGATAGTCCCACCAAGGCTACTGTGTTAGTTGGCTCTCCCCATGTCAAAGTCCCTGAGGTGAATGACTTGCAATGCTGGTCTGGGCTGTGGCTGGTGGCTCTGCTGTGTAGGGAGGCTGTGGTGGGACTGTGCATCAGATCATAGCAGAGCCTGTGAGAAAGGAGGAAGGGGGAAAGGGAGAACGAGACAGAGGGACAGAGGCACAGCCCTAGTCACCAAAGAACCTTGTGTCATCCAGGTGTGATAGATATGGTTACCCAGGCCTTTTAATCCCAATACTCAAGAACCAGAGGTAGAAGAAATAGGAGGATCTCTGTGAGTTCAAGGCCAGTTTGGTCCACATAGTGACTTTCAGGCCAGCCAGGGCTACATAGTAAGACTCTGTTTCAACATTCACCCACCCCCAAAAAAAGAAAACCCCAACAACCTCCCCTTGAGGCCCCACCTCTTTTTTTTTTCCCCTTAGACAGGGCTTATCTCTTTGGAAGAGCCTTAGCTTTGGGGCCTGTCCTAGAGTTTGCTCTGTAGACCAGGCTGGCCTCGAACTCACAGAGATCCACCTACCTCTGCCTCACAAGTGCTGGGATTAAAGGTGTGCATCACCACTGCCACACCTCTTTTTTTTTAATATTTATTTATTATGTATACAATATTGTCTGTATGTATGTCTGCAGGCCAGAAGAGGGCACCAGACCTCATTCCACATGGTTGTGAGCCACCTTGTGGTTGCCGGGAATTGAACTCAGGACCTTTGGAAGAGCAGGCAATGCTCTTAACCATTGAGCCATCTCTCCAGCCCCTGCCACACCTCTTAAAGGAAGGTCCCATCACCTCTGACAGCTGTGTCCCCATGGGCTGGGGCCCAGCGCTTTAACACATAAACCTGTGGGGTTCTGTGCAAACCACAGCAAATGCTTATGATGGGGGAGAGACTGTGTTTTCTGAGGGAAACCTGGGTGCCTTTACTTGTCAAGGACACAGACTTGAGCATTAAGAGACATTAGTGCCACTGTCCCCTAGCAGAGAACTCGTGGACTCCAAGAGTGAGTCTCTGTCCTCCCCTCCACGTACGCTCCCTGGGCTTCCCTAGTCATGTAACAAACCTGACAAGCCCTTGCTCTTCGCTTCTGTGGGGAAGGGAAAGATGGCGAACAATTAGTCAGGTCCATGTGGGGACATCAGCGCGGCCAGCAGGGCACGGGGCATGAGAAGGGTCGGGCTGAATATGGAGATGTCATACATGACATCATGGTGTTCCAGACTCACACTTCGGTTTCCCTCGGCCTACAGTGTAATATTAGCTGTTTGTTGAAGACTGGCCTTGTCCCGTTGAACCCAAGGATTCCTGCCTTACAGCAAAGGGAGCCAGGCCCCGCCCCCAGCAAGGACTGGAATCCAAGTGGGGCTGCTGCCAAGTTCCTGCCACAGCCACTGTGCTACCAAAGCCACAGGAATTTTTGCTTTGTTTTGTTTGAGACAGGGTCTCACTCTGTAGCCCTGGCTGTCCTGGAACTCACTCTGTAGACCAGGCTGGCCTCAAACTCAGAGATCTGCTTGCATCTGCCTTCTGATTGCTGGGGTTAAAGGTGTGTGCCACCACAACCAGCTTGCCAATGAAATATTTTTGGTGTTGCCACAGTTTTCTGAGGCAATTGTTCAGACAAACTTTCTACCTTGTGATATTCGAGGTACCTGATATGCAAACCCATAGGGGTTGAGGCCATACGTTGAGAACCAGTGGTCCAGGACATGGATTGGTTTCTCAGGAAAATGGGGCTGGTGGGCTGGCCTCTTTTCCTCCTTCCTTTCTTTCTCATCTTTTCTTTTAAGTGTTGACATCACAGGCCTTCCCTGTCACACCTGCTGAGTTATTTATTTATTTGTTTGTTTGTTTTTATTTTGGTTTTTCGAGAGGGTTTCTCTGTGTAGCCCTGGCTGTCCTAGACCAGTTTGGCCTGAAACTCATAGATCTGCCTGCCTCTACCTCCCGAGTGCTGGGATTAAAGACATGCACCACCACCACTGGGATTAACTTCATTTATTATTACTAATTTACTTTTGGAGTTTTGAAACTATACTCAGGTAGGCCTTGAACTCTCAGCCATCCCCCTGCCTGAGCCTCCTGGGTTCTGGGCTTATAAACTACCACCTCCCCTGAAACTGCCTGTGAACTGTGTTTTGAAACTATTGTTACCACTCCACCCCAGTTTTCAAATCAATACTCAAACATCACCTGGCTGGGGTTGGGGAGATGGAGGGCCGCATTGGAAGGTGCCTGCCATACAAGCCATACAAGCAGGTAAATTCAGCCCCCAGCGCTCACATAAAAACCCAAGGATGAGCCAAGGTGGTGGCACATGCCTTTAATCCCAGCGCTCGGGAGGCAGAGGCAGGCGGATCTCTGTGAGTTCGAGGTCAGCCTGGTCTACAAGAGCTAGTTCTAGGACAGGCTCCAAAGCTACAGAGAAACCCTGTCTAGAAAAAAAAAACCAAAAAAAAAAAAAAAAAAAAAAGAGTCAAGGACATTGGCAAGAGCTTGCAGTCCCAGTAGAGTTTGTAATTACCAGTAAAGAGGTGGGGAGAGGAGGAATCCCAGGGCTCACTGGGCAGCCAGCCTATCTGCTTGGTGAGGCCCAGGTTCAGTGAGAAACCCTGACTAAAAACAAAGAGGAGATGGATAAAATAAAGACACCCAGTGGTTACCTCTGGCCTGTATATGGACTAATATGTGCCTGCACATACATACATACAAACACATGTGCACCCCCCCCACATGCTTACCCACACACATACATATCTACAGTTAACACTCTATGCACATGTACACACTACACACACACACGCCTACACATATGTGTACATCTATATACACTCTATGCACACATGCACATACCTACACACATGTACGTACTACACGAGCATGCACACCTACGCATACATATACACTACACTCCTGACATGTGCTGGTGCACTGTCTCCTCCCTGCTTGCTGTTGCCCCATGGTTGGCTGTGACCTGTTCAGCCCCATCTGTGACCTGTCCTACTGTGATCTGCAGTTCCTTGTGCCAGCCTCCTCTGGATCCTGGGCTACTGATCCAGCACACTGTGACCCAGTGAGTTGACTTCCCACTGCTTTGGGGGCGCCATGGGGAGGAAATGCAGGTGGAGGCAGGGCACATTTCCACGCTTGGCTTTGCTCGGACAGCACTTCCAGCTACCGCTCGACACCTCTGGGGTCTGCTGCCCCTGAGCCCTCTCCTCACATCTTCCCCCTGTGTGGTTCCCCGTTGGGACACTGCTGGGTGACCTCAGCTGCCTAGAGCTGGCCTCTCTCTGTGTCTGCCATGTGGGTAATGTGAAGGGCCTCAAAACAGGGATTGTTTCTTGCCTGGTGTATATGCCTCCACCGTAATCCCTTTACTCCACTGGCTCAGTCAAGCACCAAGAATCATCACAACGTTAAAAGATAAGCCTGACAGGGTGGTACACACCTGTAATCCCAGCACTGCATCAGGGCTAAGGACAGACTAGGCTATAAGCGACCCTATCTCAAACAAACAAACAAACAAACAGGCAAAAACCTAAATCAAAACAAAACCCCCAAAGACCAAAGAGCTAAAAGTAGCTTCCAGATTCTGTGCAGTGACCATCATGGCCATCATACCTAACAGCCACTTCTTCCTTTTTAGGGTTGCTGATTGTGAGAGCAAAGAGAGCCTTGAGTTGGCTGACATCTCAGTGCCAGGGTATATAGAGGCAAAGCCAGCTGCTCCAGAGATGGCCTTTGAACTCTTCAGCATGGCCCCCTCCTACGACGCCCTGGCCATACAGAGAATCCCACTGAGTACTGACATAATCCAAGCTGAGCCCATGAAGACCTTGGCCCCATCCAAATCGAAGCTCAGCACCATTGAGGCCAAGAGAATCATGTCAGTCCTGGATGAGGCCATACAAAAAGTGGAGCTGGTGACCCTGATGTCCTACGTGGAGTCCCACCCAGAGGTTCTGGAGGGAATGTTCCCTGAAGACTTGGTGAGGGCCATAAGAGAGCATTTGGACATTGGCCAGGTCTTGCTGGAGGGCGCCAGCATCCTGCAGGAGAAACAGAAGCAGCTGGAGGAAGAGGAGGAAGCTGAGGAAGCCTGGTGCCAGGACCGCCTACTATCCATAGAGCTATGCAGGGCCAGCCTGGGGCCACTGACACACCAGTTCCGAGACTCCACCAAGGCTATCCTGAGGCTCCTGACCAATGACTCCCAGGTCATCACACTGCTGCAGATGCAAGCACCAGGCAGAAGCCCGGGGGCCCAGCGCCTCCTGGACAGCCTGGTGGAGCTTCGTGGCTTCCTCTTTGAAAAACTACTCACCAGCCCTATGGAGGTGAGGGAGAAGAACCAGTTCATACAGGACATCAACCGGAGGAATGAAAGGAACCAAGAAGTGATTGACGCCCTCCAGGCTGAGCTGGCAGAGGTGCTGAAGAATAAGGAGTCCGAGGTAAACTTCCCAGCATCCTTCAGGCCCTGTGGGACTTGGGTCTCCTCTCACTGATTCAAATAGCTTTCTCTTCAATTACTCTGTAGGGACTGTTGCGAGCATTTCACTAGGGCAGCTCACAGGACACGAGGAAGGCATTAAGGAACTAGTTGGGTGCTGTTTGGAAGTATGGTGAAGGGTAAGGACGGGGCACTGTGAAGGGATGGTACAAGGAGTAACTCGGGCCAGGAGGACCAGGGACGGCGCCACTAAGACATGAAGGATAAAGAAAGGGGGACTGAGCCAGACAGGTGCGGAAGGCTTTCCCAGCCAGGGGTTGGCAAGGTGTCTTTGTCACCAGCGAAGTGAGTTCTTCGTCCTGTGTAGGATAGACATCAGACACATGGGGGAGGGGTCGCAGAGCTGGCTCAGTGGTTAAAAGTGCATACTGTTCACTATGCAGCCTTGGCTGGCCTGGAACTCACAGAGATACCCCTGCCTGTGCCTCTGGAATGCTGGGACTGAAGGTCTGTGCCGTCACACCCAGTATGCTCTGCTAGAGCCAACACTGACGTCCAGCTACTCACAAACTCCAGCTCCCGGGGATGTCGCCCTCTTCTGGACACCACATGCACCTGCATCCACGCACATATCCACACACACAGGTTTAAAATTATATTAAATCTGGAAAGAAAAGAAATCTGAAACCCAAGAGTATTGAAGCAAAAGAAAAGTGAAATATTATTATAAAAAGAAGTCCAGGATTGGCTGGTGATGGAGCACGCCTTTAATCCCAGAATCCCAGAGGCAGACAGATGTCTGGTCTACAGAGCGAGTTCCAGGTCAGCTAAGGCTACACAGAGAGATCCTGGCTCAAGAAAAGTACAGGGTTGGGCATGGCTCAGTGAATAAAAGCTTCTGTATAGCCTGGGGGACCTGAGTTTGAGCCTCGGAGCCCACTTTTTTTTTTTAAGCTGGTATGGTAGTGTACCTTTGTAATCTCAGCAGTGGGGAGGCAGGGACAGGAGGGCCCCTCCCCTCAGACCATTGGCTGGCCAGCCTAGCCTAGCCAACAAGCTCCAGGCCAGTGAGAGGGAGAGGTGGCTGACATGTGAGGGTGTGCACACAAGCACACCCGTGCACATGTACAGAGAGGCGCAGCAGGCTACCCTACAGCTGTGTTTCATCTTATGGAAGGGTTTGAATATTTGAATATTCAGAGGTTCTGCAGTCAGCTTAAAGTGGGCCTGTGTGTGCATCCCCCCGCCCAACACGGACTTGACTAGTTAGTGTATTAGTGTATTATAATGAATCTCAGGGCCAGTTACAATTCAGGAATTCAGATGTGGCTACTGTCTTTCGTATACTTGTCCCAGGTGAGCAACAGCAGCCTGCTTTTTTTTTTGGGGGGGGGCTCTATATCTCATCTCCAAAGGGTCACACAATCCACACCCTGGGCTCAGTGTTCTCCACATTACTCTGCTGTTTAGTGTGGAAGCAGCCACGAACAGTGTCAGGACAAAAGGGCTGTGTCCCAATAATACTTTATTGACAGATATGGCTGTCCAGATCTGGTCTTTGCGCCTTTATTTGCTGACCTCTTTCCTAGGTGGAGGGGAGCATAAGCCTGGCGGGTTCAGAACTCTAAGGGAGGACACAGCCAAAGGCCAGCTGCCCCCGTGATTGTGGGGTGCGTGCTACGTGGCTATTAATGGGGCCCCATCCTCATTCGTCCCTGCCTAGGTGGAGAAGGAGAATTTTGTGATCCAAGAACTGAAGAACCACCTGCACCAGGTGTTCAAGTTCTCGGAGAACAGCCTCCTCCGCACGAAGCAGGAGGCGGAGAAACAGCAGAAGGTGGATTACCGGGCCTCCCAGGCTAGGCTGGCCAAGATACAGCAAGAGATCCTGGCGCTTCGTACACAGTTCCACAATCTGGTCATGGAGAACCGGGAGGTGGAGCAGGCCCTAAGGAAGGTGCCCTGAGGTCTCATGGGGGCAGAAGGGACAGGGCAGGGCTGGCCCAGGAGTAGGAAAGCTCAAGAGGGGTGTACCTCCTGGTAGAGGGTGGTGGGGGAAGCGCACAGGTGGGAGTGAGGTTCCTCCCTCACCGCCATCTCGTAGTTCACCCATGGTGGAGGCTGGGTCTTGCTTCATTCCTCACTATGGTAGAATCACATTCTGTTTTATGTGTGTGAGGGGGATTTTTCCTTTTTTTTTTTCCCCCTGGGATTAAAGGTATTTCTCCCGAGTACTGGGATTAAAGGCGTGTGTCACCACTGCCCAGTTGAAAAAGTGTTTTCTTATTTATGGATTAAGACAGGCTCTGGCTGTCCTGGAATCCACTCTGTATGTAGACCAGGCTGGTTTTAAACTCAGAGATCCACTGCTTTGCCTCCCTAGTGCTGGGAGCAAAGGTGTGCGCCACCATGTCTGACCCAAGTGTTTTCTTTAAGTTTTTATTTTATGTATTGCCTACATGTGTGTGTTTATATGTCTGTGTACCACATGTATGCAGTGCCCTCAGAGGCCAAAAGAGGGTGTTGGATCTAGAACCGGAGTTACAGAGGGTTGTGAGCTACCATGTGGATGCTAGGAATTGAACCTGGGTCCTCTGGAAGAGAAGACAGTGCTTTTAACTGCTGTGGCATCTCTCCAGCCCCAAGTATATTTAATTTTTAAACTTAGGGCCTCATTTGTGCCAGACAAAGGTTGAGTCACATACCCAGCTGGGAGCTGACCCTTTAAAACAAAATATTTATGTGTGTGTGTGTGTGCATGCATGTATGCCTGCGTGTGTGCATGTGCGTGTGTGCCTGCGTGTGTGCATGCACGCACATACACTGCAATGCCTGTGTGGAGGTCAGAGGATAGGTCTGCTGTCAGTTCTCTCCTGCCACCTTGTGGGGTCAGGATAAAACTCAAGCCCTAACCGCCTCTACCTACCCAATGAGCCAACTTACTGGCCCTGGGCTCTCTTGTTTTTGTTTAAGAAAAAATACAAAGTGGAGACTGAAATTGAGAACTGGATCCAGAAGTATGACACGGAGATGAGCGAGAAGCAGGTATGTGCTGGGGGCTCCTCCTGAGGGGCTGGGAGGGGTGGGAGTGGGGTAGGAGCTGTCCCAGATGGCCTAGGTATGAGCCTTCCTGTGGTGTCCAGGTGTGGGTGGTGGGAAGCCTATGGGGGGGTACAGGATGAGAGGACATAAGAAATGCAAAACTGCTGCAAGCCAGATCCATCCAGATGTCCCCTCCTCCAGCCTGGCTCAGCCCCTGCCTGCTCCCAGTTCGGAGGGGAGTCTACCCGCTACTGTTACCAGGCACTTACTGAGAACCTAAATAAGGCAGGGAGGCACAGCTGTGTCACCTGACCTCAGTTGGCCTTTTTGAGTTTGGATCTGACCATGAGAAACACAGGCTGCAAGGTGTGTCCTGAGGCCCTCATGGGAGGGTTCATGAGACACCATTACTGAATGTGTCTGAGCCCCGAACTAGGTCTAGAAATCCTGACCTGCAGTGGGAGCCTGGGTGGCCCCACCCACTTGCAGGTGACACGGGTGGCACCTGGCCCTGACCTGGGCAGGCCTGAAGAGCTGAGAGTTCACACCTTGTCAGAGAAAGGCAAGCAGGACCCCTCTCAGCCAGACCACAGTGCTCCCCTGACTCAGGAGCTGTGAGGCTGGCGCCCAGTTTTGGGCCCCAGCACAGGTTGTGTGGTGCGGCCATGGCTGGGTGGTGTGCACAGGGTCCAGTACTACAAAACAAACCCTACAGAGTCCCGAGTGCCACAGTGGACTCTGTAGGGTCTGTAGATTTGTGGGTCCCTTGTTGGCTGGGACCCTGACAGCTCAGCTCAGTCCTTGTCCTCAAAGTGGATACTCAGTAGGTGTTGGTGAAAAGAAGGGGTAGAAAGAGGGGAGGGGGAGTTGGTGTGAATTGCAGTAAGAGGGATGAGGGACAGAATGGGGGACTCTGGGGTCACCTGCAGATCTTTCTGCTCTGAGCCTCTGTGAAGCTGCTCAATGGCGGTGGCCTCACTGTGTCCTGACTCTGTGGAGTGAGATCCTCTGTGCCCTGACTCTGTGGAGTGAGATCCTCTGTGCCCTGACTCTGTGGAGTGAGATCCTCTGTGCCCTGACTCTGTGGAGTGAGATCCTCTGTGTCCTGACTCTGTGGAGTGAGATCCTCTGTGTCCTGGCACTGTGATAAAACACCTGAGAAAGGGAAGGAAAGTTTGTCTGGGCTCAGCGTTTTGGAGAGTACAGTTCATGGTCACTGGACCCCACTGCCTTGAGTCTAAGGAGAGAGTGTCACAGAGAGGGGAGCAGAAATGTTCACCACAGAGGGGCTGGTAATGAAGGAGGAGAAGGAAAAAAAGGGTTGAAGGGTGGAGGAAGAAGAGGAGGGAGGCACAGACCAAAGAGAAGATACCTTTCAAGGGCCCACCCCCCAAGAAAACACTTCCGGAAAGCCCGCTCCTGTTGTTCAGCGGTGAATCCATCAGCTGGTTAACCCACTGATGAAGTTGGCGCTTTCACGATTCAGTCGCCTCTCAACAGCGCCACCTAGCGGGAGATCAGGCCTCCAACCCATGTGTCTGTGAGCGGCCTTTCAAACTGAAGCTGGGTATCCCAGAAACTGGCCCTGATATTGGGAATTGTCTGGAAAACCAGGAGCTTAAAAGAAAATCTCCTAAAGGTGCAGAGAAGCTAGACTTCAATGCTAGGGCCAGCGGCTGGGGAACTGGCTCAGTTTCTAGGATGTTTGCCACGCAAACTCCAGGACCCGAGTTCCCATCCCCAGCACCTACATAAGAAGCTGAAGGCCTCAGTGTGCAGTTATAATCACCTTGCCAGGAGGCAGAGACAGGCAGATCCTGGAAGTTTGCCAGCACAGTGACACCAGCAAGTTCCAGGTTCAGTGAAAGAAAGGTGGAGAGATTGAGGACACCTGATGTTGACCTCTAGCCTACACACACACATACACACACACATACACGCATACGCACACGCGCACCACGTGCATTAATTGTGCACTTAAACAAGAACACACGCACACCTAGGTTTGCACACCTTGTTGCCCCTGTCCTTCCCTCCATCACGAGATCTATTCAGTTGGATCCTTCCTGGAGTGAGCCCAGGTACAGACAGGCCCTGTACCTTACCTGGCTGGGGCGGAAGACAGGGGACATGGGAAGCCATGCCAAGTGCTGCGTCCCCAGCCCTGCCCCTTGCCTAGGACGAATTCGAGGACCTTGAGAGCATCCACAAGGAGGAGAAGCTGCAGCTGGAGGAGCTGAAGGAGAGGCATGCGGTGCTGGTGGAGGAGTTCGCCCAGATCCGTGCTGAGAGCGAGATCAACTCCAAGAAGCGGGTGGAGGCAGAGCGCGAGATGGTGCGCATGGTAAGGGCCGCCACGCTCATCCAGGCCGTGTGGAAGGGCTACCTGGTGCGCTCCATGCTAAAGTCCAGGAAGAAGAAGCGCGGAAAGGGGAAAGGCAAAGACAAGGGGAAGGGCAAAGAGAAGAAAGCCAAGGGCAAGGCCAAAGCCAAGAAGAAGTGACCGCTGCCTGGCCTGGCCCCGCCCCTGCCCAGCTTCAACCTTGCCCAGCCGGATCTGAACCACAACCCCCACCCCTCGCCCCAGCCCTTCCATCCCTGGCTTTGATTATGGCTAAAATTAAAAACCAACATTTAAACCATTCTCAGCACTGTTGACTCACCCTTCAACAGACATGTCTGCCCTGGGATGAGGCTGTGTTGCTCATGGGTGCAGCATCCCGAGGAGGGTGCAAGCTTTGGGCTCCCATCCTTCCACATCTTCATTTAGAAATGAAGCCCTGGTCCCAGCCCAGGAGCTACTGTGGTTGCCATGGAGACATCACAGCACAGCTTTGCCCTTATGCTATGAACCATTGGGAGGGCAGCAGCGTTTATGTTTGGCGTTTAGATTGTTTGCACGATTTTCAAAAAGTATTAGTTGCTAGAATTTCATAAATTGAGAACTATCCCATAGAAACCGAGAAACCCTTTCTGTAAGGATCCCATCACCCTGATATCCCAGAATTCCCACCCGTGTCTTCCATAGTGCAGCAGCAGCTTTATTTTGAAACAAAGTATTCCTATGTAGCCCAGACTGTCCTTGAACTTAGGGTGACCTTCTGATTTTTTTTTTTGGTTGTTTTTCGAGACAGGGTTTCTCGGTGGCTTTGGAGCCTGTCCTGGAACTGTCCTGGCCTCGAACTCACAGAGATCCGCCTGCCTCTGCCTCCTGAGTGCTGGGATTAAAGGTGTGCGCCACCACCACCTGGCTTCCTTCCTCCGATTTCTAAATGCATAGGCCACCTCTTCTGGCTGACTCCTTCCTCCACTTTAAAACACAAAGCATGAGTCCGGCCCCCGCGTTGATTCCTTGCCTTTAATCCCACCACTTGGGAGGCTGAAGTAGAAGGATCTCTGAGTTTGAGGCTAGCCTGGTCTACGAAGTGAGTTCCTGGACAGCCAGAGGTACATGGGGAAACCGTCTTACGTGGTTGTGCCCATGAAGTCCAGAGCTGGGTGGAACTACAGCCACTGATGTTTGTGAGCCACTAGAAGAGGTTACTGACGTCTGAACTCAGTACTGACCTGACAGAGCTGTTATGGTCTCTTAACCCACGAGCTACCCCTTTAGTACCAATTTTTTTTTTTTTTTTTGAGATAGGGTTTCTTTGAGTAGGCTTGGCTGTCCTAGAACTCGCTCGGTAGACCAGGCTGGCTTCAACTCACAAAGATCTGTCTGCTTCTGCCTCTCAAGTGCTGGGATTAAAGGCGTGCATGATCACAGCCCAGAAACTTTTTATTAAAAGGTGTGTGTGTGTGTGTGTGTGTGTGTGTGTGTGTATCACATGCATGCCTGATGCCTGAAAAGGTCAGAGGGTGTTGGATCCCCTGGAATTGGAGTTATAGGTGGTTAGGAGCCACCTGATGTGGATCCTCCCTCTGGAAGAGCAGTAAGCACTCTTAACTGCTGGGTCATCTCTCCAGTGCCCCCTCCTCCACCTTTTGTGGTTCCCATCAGGCTGCCCCATCCTGTCTCCCCCAAGTGCTCTGACACCACAGCCTGGTATAGCTAGACTCCAGGCCTGGTATCAGTTAACCTGGTGGCATCACTCTGGGCTTCAGCCGACCTTTAGTGTAGATGGGAGAAGAATATGTGCTTCTATTTTTAGCCTGTGCCTATCAACGTGAAGGGGAGGGACAGAAAAAAAAGGAGGTAGACTAAACCATTCTCTTGTGAAAGTTCTAGAAGCTTAACGTTCTCTGTGGCTGCAGTGCAGTCTGTCTGTACCCAGGTATGTCTGTCTGACCTCTGCACACGATTACAAATGTCCCTGGGCCTGGCTACACCTAGACAATGGTGAGATGCCCCCTGGGCTCCCTGAACTGCTCAGCGAAGGAGGGGGACCAGGAGAGGCTCAAGACTCCCACTGTCATCATGCAGGGCAGCTCTGAGGCCCAGGGCCCCAGCAGCCAGGCTCCCTGTCCCTGGCTGCCTCCTCCAGCTTGGTCATCCACTAAGTCCTGTTCTGTTTTGTTGGGGGAGGAGGTTGCTGGGGATTGATCCCAGGGCCCCATTCATGTATGTTAGGCAAACATTCTACTATCAAGCTACATCCCCGCCCCCTAGCAAGACAATTGCTAGCAAAGGACTCTCACTGTGTCCTGAGCTGGCAGGAACCACCCACCTACCCATGTCATAAAACAGAGACAGGACGGTTGTCCTCAGACCTCAGCAGCCACTGTCATATCTGTCACATGCTCAAATCACCCTTGGTTGTTTAACTGTACTGTTTAAATTGACTGAGGCCTTTACTTAAGGGGAAAAAAGCAACACTCCACTAAGCTTTGATGAGCTGAATATATTTAGTACATGGAATGAATAAATACACGAATATTAAAATGTCTCCCCCATGTTCCACCCTCAGGGTTCACATACAGCCCAGGAAACTCTCTCGAGGCACCCAGACCCCTGCAGAAACTGAATCCTGAGCCGGGCGGTGGTGGCACACGCCTTTAATCCCAGCACTCGGGAGGCAGAGGCAGGCGAATCTCTGTGAGTTGAGACCAGCCTGGTCTACAGAGCTTGTTCCAGGACAGGCTCCAAAGCCACAGAGAAACCCTGTCTCGAAAAAAACCAACCCCCCCCCCCCCAAAAAAAGAAACTGAATCCTGAGCAGGGAGCTGGGTGGGGTTTGGCACCAATGCAGAAAGAGGCTGCGCCATGGCCAGAGAGATATCTCAAAGGACCCCAAGCACCCCGCAGAGGCGGCTAGGGAGTCCTGAGCTTGTGGGGACAAAGGGAAGCATGGCCCGTCCTCACCATGGAGCCTCAGGGAGGCTTCTCTAGTGCTTGGAGGCACTGGAGACACTGGTCCCCATAGTACTGCACCTGAGCCAGAGGATTACCTGATGAGAACCTCATTTCCAAGGAGGCTTTGGCTTGGGGGGGCCGGCCCCTTGTTGAGGGGCAGCTGGCCCTGAAACTTTGCCTGACCGTGACCTGGGAGTGACCAAGGGACTCCGAACAGTCATCCCTGACGTGGAAGGCCGGGGACTCCAAGGTCCATTGGTCTGGGGGACACTGGAAGCTGGATGACCCATGCTGGGGACACTCAGGTGGCTGAGTGAATGGGAACGCCTCCGCCCCAGAGAGGAAGGAGCATCTAACCCCTCCTGGGACGTCTTCTGGGAGCCTGTAGCCACGCTGGGCTCTGTCCTGGAGGGTCCATCTGGGTGAATGGCTCGAAGTGGGGTCTCTCTGGGGCGAGGTGAGTGGCTGCCCCTAGGGGTGGCTGGTGGTGTCCAGAAAAGGGTCTGGAGCTTGGCAGTATCCCCTATGGCTGTCCGAGACCCCTCCTTGTTGGTGCCCTGTGGCCGGGAGCCGAAAAGGGACTCATCACAGTAGGAGGGGGTGTGGCCAATCAACCTAGGAAAGGGAAGAACACAGTGACCTGTGATGACACACCAGAGCTCTCTATAACCCCACTCCCCACCAGCTACAGAAGCAGCCGGAGCCTGCCTGGCACCCTTGGCCCCCGACACTCTTCAATAGGCTCATAGGCATCAATAGGCATTAGCCCAAGACAGCTGGGGCTTGTCTCCCTCTTCTTCTGGACACGGACATGTTGGAGAGGGGAACAGTCCTAAAAGGGACCCTCATATGAACCCACCATCAAGAGTCTTAACTACAGCCACTCCAGAAGCCCTTATGAATACCCGTACATGTTCAAATCTTGTGCATCAAACGACAGACACCCTCCTGAATCTACCCTGCTCCAGATGGATGGAGTCATTAAGTCCGTTAAGCGCTAGGCAAACAGTTGTCACGCTGTTGTTTAGGAACAACAAAACTCTACAGGAGCTTGGGTCAGGAAGACGGTTCTGCGGGTGTGGATGCTTGTGGCCAAGACTGACAACCGAGTTCAATCCTCAGGATCCACGTGGTAAATGGAAAGAACGAACCCCTACAAGTTGTCCTTTGACCTCCACCAGTACACAAGCCTCACACACAAAAATAACCAAATACAAATGTACCTTTCAAAAAACTCTACATGGGGGGGGGGGGGTGGAGTGATTGCCTGCTCTTCCAAAGGTCCTGAGTTCAATTCCCAGCAACCACATGGTGGCTCACAACCATCTGTAATGAGGTCTGGCGCCCTCTTCTGGCCTTCAGGCAGACGCGCAGGAAGAATATTGTATACATAATAAATAAATAATTAAAAAAAAAAACCCTCTGCATTGGGGGCTGGAGAGATGGCTCAGTGGTTAAGAGCACTGACTGCTCTTTCAGAGGACCCGGGTTCAATTCCCAGCACCAACATGGCAGCTCACAACTGTCTAAAGATCCAGTTGCAGGGGATCTGACACCTTCACACCAGTGCACATAAAATAAAGTTAAATAAACCATAAAAAATATTTAAAAACAAAAACCTCTACATGAGCTCAGCAGAGATGCAATTTTTTTTTGTCCTGAAGTTTTTTTCCTCCCAAGAATTTCCTTTAAAATATTTTAAACTTATTATTACTATGTGCGTATGATGTAGATATGTGGGCATGGTCAGAGGACAACACTGTGGAGTCATTCCGTCCTTCCTCCTTCATGAAGGTTCCGGCAACCACAGGTCACCAGGCTCTTGAGGCAGGAGCCTTCACCCACTGAGCCATTCGCCAGTCAACACTATCACTGATGGAGACATCAATCGCAGCATTCGGCTGCTGTGCCCCGATATGCCCCACTCCCGTTTAATGCAGGCATTCGTTCTATTATCTGAGTAAACCGGCTCAGAGAAGTCAGGGCGCTGCCCACGGCCACACAGCAGGTGAACAGGAGGCTGTACCAGGTAGCCTGATGGCTCTGATGGTCAGCTTCAGTTGTCAGGTTGGCTCGTGGGTGTGCCTATGACGGATCTCCCTCTTAGTACAAGTGTCTCACATGCATGGAAGTCTATGCACCACATGTGTGTGCCCGTAGTGTCCGAGAGGGGGTGGGGTGCTCTGGGACGGAAGGAAAGGAAGACAGTGTGCAGTGGAGCAGGCTTGCATGTGGCCTGCTGGCCCCAGCCCCCACTGCTGTGACTTATAGCAACAGCTGTGCAACCACG